TATTTATTGATAAATTAACACTAAAAAACTAATAATATATCACAATATTTGAATATTATCATACTCTTAATGAATTGGTAAAAGCATTTATTCAGGCAGAAAAAAAAATAATATTTGTTTTTATTGCATTTAATAAATATTGTAGATAGGCTAGTATTACCAATCAGAATTTAATACAATCAATTTGATACAGTTCTCACAGCTATATTAGCTAGTCTAAGATCAGTGATCTTCAGTTCAAAAGAATTTACTAAGCTATAAATTAGATCATCAGTTAGGTTTTATATAACATATTAATTTTTGTATATATATTTGAAAAAAATATATTAACTTTTGTTCTTTATTTTTTTCTAAATAATTATGAAAAAAATATAAAAGAAGGTCTACACTCAACACAGGATCTACTGTAAAAATAAATATTATATTAAAAGTATATGTTATGAAGGGCTGAGAGACTTACAATTTTGAGATCTCTAGATATAAAGCTAACTATATGTCTTGTAAGGTAGATCTACACATAAAAAAGTATAAAGATTCCTTTTGCATGTACTTTTATAGAAGTCTTAATATCATATAACAATACTAATTACATCTTATATCTCTTTAACTTTTCTTAGCAAGATATATAACATGTAAAAGTATATAGAAGTTTAACCAACTTTTTGCAAAAAACATTTTTATAAAAATAACACAAAATAAAGTATATATTTGTCAGAAGTTATATATGTATAAAAGCGAGTTTTTCTCACTATAGGCTCTTATTTTTAGAAAAGCAAGATATTTAATAAATTTAAAATATCTGATAAATCAAAATTTGATAAATTGGTCAAAGATAGAAACATTTTTTTTAACTATTAATTTGTAATGAGGGTGTGAATGATATTTTTGAAATAACAATATCTAATGCTAATAATAATTAAATTTCTTCTCTCATAGAGGCAATCAGAAACTATCATTTAGATTAATTTCAAGATATTGATTTAACCAGTTTGGCCTTATATAAGGTTAGGATTGTAATTAATAGCATTATAATTATACCTTAAAAAATAATAACATATTCATAGTAGATAGGTCAGTAAAAATGAAATCATAAGATAAAATTTTTATTTATTTTCCTATTCAGCTCTAACGTATCTATTCTATTGAAAAAAAAATTAATGTTATTGCATATCCTTCTATTGAAATAGTATCACACAAATAATTAGTATTTTTAAATATATACTAATAAAGCTCTGAATGATTTGGATTAATCTAAAGATTTTTCAGATCAGATCGGTTTAGTTTAGTTTCAGATTACATAAAAATTGATCTGAAAATTTTCAGTTCAGTTCGGATTTTTTTCAGATTATAATTTTAATCTGAACTGAACTGATAATTTCAGATTAATCCAAAAGTTCAGCTTGATTATATGCGAAACTCTTGGAGGATCGCAAAATTTGTGAATTCTCTAAGAAGATCGTAAAATTTAGTGAAACTCTTAGAGAATCACAATTTTTTGCGGTTTTTCTTCAAATTTTGTAAAAAAATTGCGAAAACCTTAAAGAATCGCAATTTTTGCGATTTCTCTTAGAATTTCGTAAAATTATCGTGAAACTCTTGAAGAATTGCAAAAAATTGCGATTTCGAATTTCGCAAAAAAATTGTAAAACCCTTGAAGAATCGCAATTTTTGCGATTTCTCTTAGTATTTTGCAAAAAATATTGCAAAATTCTTAGAGAGTCACAAAAAATTGTGATTTCTCTTTGAATTTCGCAAACCTTGAAGAGAAATTCATGATTTTTGCAATTTTTCTAGAGTTTTGCAGATTCCTTATATAATCAAATCGTAATTTTGGATTAATCTAAAAATTTCGGTTCACCCAGATTTTACCGGTCTGCGGTTCAGTTCAGATTCAGATTGGCATTTTTAAGATTAATAATCTGAACTAAACTGAACTGAAATTTCAGTTCGAATATAGATTGATATCTAATTCAGACTGAACTGAATTATTCAGAGCTTTACATACTAATGTAATAGTAATATATTCATAAATTTATATTTTATGTATTAGTTACTTTAATAACATTTTTTTATTTTTTAAATAAAGTATATATAATGTTTTTATTATAAATCTCAATAAATATTATATATAATAACGTAATATAATCAGTTTAAAGATGATACTTCAATTAATTGTAACAAATAATAAATAAGTATCACAATGTTACAATAAATTACAACGTTATTAAAATTTAAGTTGCAATAGGTGATAAATAAGTATCATAATATTGTAACTCTATCTTTAAATTAGTTGATAATCTTATATTATAATTTAATTGCATATATATAGGGTAAATACAATATATTAGTTAATACAAATAATTTAATTTTCTCTCTAAGTATGTCTTACTTCAGAAGTAAAAAAATTTATATAAATCAGCTTTACCTATTATTGCAATTAAGCAGATAATTTTTTGCAAGTATAAATATACACATATAAATTATGTTTTTATAAGCTTCTTTACCCACTTCACCCACCTCAATAAGTGAAGAAATTTTTATTAGAATAATGTTAGATATTATTAAGAATTTTAATATAAAGAAGCTTATTAAATATTTGAAAAAGAAAAATTTGAAACTTAAGGAGCTCTAATTAAAATTTTATGAAAGGAAGAAATCATCAGTTATTTTTTCCTTAAATTAACTAAAGAAAAACTTGAATATTATGGCATAAAAGGAGGATCTATAACAGTTTTTATAGAATTTATTAAAGGTTTCAACCAAAAATTATGAAATTATTCCTCATATATGACTCTTAATAACTTGAAGGAAATGTTGCATAAAAAAGATCAATAGAAAAGATATAACAAGTATCAAATAATTTACTCCTAATGAGTGATTACTTTCTTTACTCTGAAATAAATTATTAAAATTAATAACTTTTTTTTTTATAATTTTTGAGAAAATTAATAAAAATGATAAGATTTTTAAACATTGCATAAACAATATAATTTTAAAATTATATAATCTGAAAATCATAATTGATATTAATGAAGCTATATGCTATGAATTTATTTTAACAATATTATATACATCTATTATTATAACTAAAAATCTTACTTTTCAAGATATATTTATAGTTTGCAAAAAGATATTTCAGATAAAGATTTGACAAGTTGAATAGACTACATAATTAAAAGTCTCAAAAAGTTTCTTTATATTACTAAAGGGAAATCTTAAAATATTAAGATTAGATATACTTAAATAAGTCTATTCATCTTATTAGTCTATTAGCTTTGAAATGAAAAGACTAAAAGATAATGTATTTTATTTCTTAGAATTTGACACAGCTTGAAAGTGCATTTTAGACAAATAAAAAGAAACAGATTGCAAATCAAGCATTTGAAATGACTATTTTAACTATATATATAATATTGTAATCACTGATATAAAGTAATATTTTATTATATATACTCTAAATAGTATTTTCTGTATAAGTAGTAATAAATACTAAATTAACCTTACAAAACTAGTAATCAAAGAAAATCTTGATTTATTTTGAAGTAATATAAAAAGGTAATAGATATAATTATTAGGCTACTGAAAGATAGGGTTAGTTTAATAGTTTTATAACTAGTAAGAGGGTTAGAATTAAAAAATTTATCAAAAAATAATATGATGTATCATGAGCAATATTTCAATCTTTGTATTTATTTTTTACATATAGTTCTCGAAAAAAAATAATGAGAATTATATTTTTATTTATTGTGTAAAAATAAAGGTTAAAAATATATGAAAAATTTATAAAAAGTTGTTCATCATATTATGATTATATCTCTAAAAATTATTTAGTAATCTGTCTTATTACTATTTTATTCAATTACTTATTCTAATCTCGATGACATATTATGGATTAAATTAACAAAAATTTTAGGCTTAATTTCTTTCCTTTTTTTGAATTATCTTGCAAAAAGTATCTACAGTAATTGGACTTTTTTTAGCCACCAGTTTGTTAACCTTTTTCTCTACACAGCTTTTCATTATTTCTCATAAATTTTCTATAGGATTGAGGTTAGAGCTATTTGATGGCTAGTCTATCAACCTTAAACATTATTTGCAAGCAATTTTTTAGTTTTCTTGACTGTGTGCTTGAGATTATTATCTTATTGGAACACTTAAGACCTTCCTATAATAGAATTAGTATTGTTAAAGAGATTTTCCTTTAAAATTTCATAATAAAAGGTATCATTCATATTTCTAGTAAAAAAAAGGATGCCAATTTGACCTTTGATTGAAAATGCATTTCACACATGAACTTTATATAGATGTTTTACCATAGGCTTTTGTGAAGGTTTTATACCAGCTTTGTAGAATACTTTTTGGGTATTCTTAAATATCTGAAATGTAACTTCGTCAGAAAATATGATTTTATTCCAGTTTTGATTTTTATATTTTGTAGCAAATTTCAATATGCTTCTGTTTATATTTTTCTATAAGAAGTGGTATAGATTTTAGAACTTTACAAATATAATTGAGGTCATGAAACTTATTAAGCACTGTGTGATCAGTTATATCAAGGTTAGTATACTTGACATTTAAAATATTTGCAAGATCAGTGCATGTTGAGAATTTGTTTATTGAGATAAGCTGATTAAGATAATGGTGTTTTTTAGAAAAAAGTTTATTTGGTCTTTCAGGTTAAGGTAAAAGGTTTAAAGTGGTATTTTTTTGAGTTTTTTGATATATTTATAAACAGTAGAAAGAATAATAGAAGTTAGTTCATGTAAAGTTTAGGTATTGTGAGTATTATTTTCTCACAAAGAAATTATTATAATATAGCGTTATTTTAGTATAACTCAAATTATTATATGTTTAGTATAACTTTGGCAAAATATAAACAAAACAAAAACAATGATTATCATTATAAATAAAAATAATTGTTGTGTTACTACATGATAGGATTTTTTTGTAAGTTGTATATTGTGAAAAATTTTTAAGTTTTTTTTTGCTACATTTTATTCTCAGTACTTTTTTCAAGAACTATATAATAATAAAATATTTTTTTTTGACAAAATTTTTAGCGAATTCGATTTGCTAAAAATTATATAATTTTTTTTATTTTAAATGCTTATATGCAATATATTAGTTATATATAAATCATGTCATTAGAGCTTAAAATATTAAAACAGTACATCATTGAACTCGAGGCTGAGAATGCAAAGCTTAAGAAGAAGAATATTGAAATCCCTGATCTTAAAAATAAGCTTTTAGTATTTAATGCTAAAATAGTTGAACTTAAGTATAAGAATATCAAAGTTCTAAGAGCAAATGAAAAATATAAGGAGAGACGTGATGCTGAATACTAAACAAGATTAGAATTGAAAAAGTAGAATCTGAGTATTTCAAGGCAAAAATATGAAGTTAAGACAGAACTATGCTGAACTCTTAGAAAGTATTATAAAACTAGAGCAGGCTTGAGCAAAAAGAAAATCTAAAAAAAATTGCAAATTCTAGATCAGATACATTCAGATAATTAAGAAAATTTTTAATGAGAAACCTATGATTGAATATCGCTTTCCTTTTTTGAATAGATTAGAGCTTGATGTCTTCTTTCAAAAATATCAAATTGCATTGAAAGTGCAAAGAGTTCAACATCAGTTTCATAGCACTAGCTGTATAAAGTTACTAAAAAAACTTGAAGACATTGTTAATTGTGATTAGCAAAAAAGATGTATTTATCTATATAAAGGAATTTTTCTTATTAAGGTATAGTATGATCAGAACCCAAAAATTATTATTTTAAGAAGAATACAAAAGATTAAAAAGTTCGTTAATTAAGCATCTAAAAGTTTTAATCCCTATAATTAATAACCTTATAAATCAATCAGAATTAATTAATACTTTACATGACTTACAATATAACCTGTAACTTAAAATTTAATTCTTATTTTTTTGAAAGACAAAATGAAAATATTTTTATCTAATAACTTAACCATAGATAATAAAGCTAAGTATACAGAATCCTGAATAAATGCAAGAAATCTTCTGCATAATTTGTGATAATTAAATGTGTTCATATTATGTAATTGTAGCTTATATACTAGTTATAACAGTATAAATAATTTTTTATATATTGGTTACTACTTCAGGCAATAAATGAGTCTTATTTTATATAAATTAAATATATTAGAAAATTTTTAATTATTTATTTACTTTTGTTGATAGCAAGAGAATTTATTAAACTATATTCTCAGAATTATATACTTTCTCTTGCTTAACATCCTTAACAAGTTTTACAACTGATTCAAAAGGCATATTAATTATGATAAGCTTTTTTCAGCCAAAAGAATATGATTTAATCCTTCGATTAATTCAGTGATATTTTTTGCTAAAATGTAATCCAGTTTAGAGGTTGGAATTGGCTTAAAATTCTTTAACCGGTTAATAACTAGTTAAAATAGTGAACCGGTTAATTAACCGGTTAAAATTAACTTTGGCCAGTACTATAAATTTGGCCAGAGTTAGACAATAATTTGCAATTATAAAATTCTTAATTCTGGCCGAAATTGAATTTCGGCCGAATTTAAATTCATCTATTTTAACCGGTAAAAAAATCTTTAACCGGTTCCAACTCTAGTCCAGTTTAAACGGCTTTTTGTAAGCCTTTCCTCGTTGAGTTGGAGAAAATAATAACCAGGAATGTTTTTGAATTTCATTATTTCGTCTTCTCCAATGTTACTGTTAAAAGAATCTCTTAAAAGGTAATCAACGCCTTTAAACCTCAAATAATCATTGGTTGAGATGCCGGTTAAGATGCCGGTTGATGAGATAACTGTTGAGATGCCGTCAGAGTTGCTGCTCCCAATGCCCGGTCTGGTGGTGCTGTTATCGTTGTTCCCGGTGTTTGTGGTACTTTCGATCAGTGATGTGCATTTATGCTTCCAATAGTATAAAATTTGATTGGAAGCTTCCAATACAAATGAATTTATTAGAGGACTATGCTTCAAACCCTTCCAAAGGTACTTCCAAGAGTGCTTGCAATCTTCCAGGTGCACATCATTGCTTTCGATGTTCCCGGTATTGGTAGTGCTTTCGATGTTTCCGGTGCTGGCGGTTGTGGTACTGGTGGTGCTCCCAGTTGAGATGTCAGTTCGTGGTTAATTATTCTAGAACAAGATAAAAAATATCGTACGTACATACAGTAAATGAAAATGTAAATCACACCAATGAAAATTTAATCGTGTTACCTGAATCTTATAAATAGTATGGTTATTGCTTCCGGATTCTTTTGACGGAAAAATTCCATTGAAATTGTTTTAATTTCGCCAGGATCATCATTATATTCGAATTCAAAGGTTTGTCCTTGAACACGTTGAAAAAATAACCCAGCATCATTCTCGGTCTTGAAATGTATATGTCCGTAAGTTTCGCTCTTGAACTTTAGTATATGACAATTTTCCATTTGGATAATATCTGATAAAAGGTTTTTAATTTTGCCACTACTAACATCGTCCAGATGTACTCCTCCGATAAAAACAGATTGCTGGACTGAACAGCAAAAAGTTTTTTGTTTTTTTGGTTCTAAAAAATGAAAGTGTAAGTGTAAGAACGTGACGTGAATGTGAACGTGAAACGTGTGTGAACGCGTGAATTTGAACGTGAAACGTGAATGTGAAACGTAATGTGTGAACCATAATGTCATTTCTACGACTGCTATCGTTAGACCTTCGTAGACTTTCAAGGTTTCCATAAATACGTTGACGATGACGTTGACGTGAATGTGGACGTGGACGTGGACGTGGACATAAAGGTAAAATATTCTTCACTTACTTGGTGCTATTTGTGAGTCCATTTGTGCCATTTGTTTAAGTCGTCTGAAAAAGAGAATTTTTTTATTAGAAAGATGAAAAAGATTCTACTTTTATTTATAAGAGACAAAGGGAAGCTTATTATAGCAAATGATGTAAAAAATTCATCACTCAGAGTATGCGGGTATGAAAAAATCACTAACTATGCGCGTACAAATTCATCATAGATTACATCATTGTGAGTTTACTTTATATTTTGTGTTTGATTATTGATATTAGTAATCTCAAGATCTACAGTACATGAGTTAGTTAACTTTGCGTAGAGATCGCTACGCTAAAAAGAAAATTTCCCCTATTTCCGAATTCACTTTTATAGATTTGCTATAGCTGTATTTAATCGATACAAGAAATTAAAACCTGTCCATGGCAAAGATGGATCTCGGAGTTTGGTTAAAGATTCTGTGGAGTATCAAACGACGCATAATGGCGTGAAGAAGGTTTTGGGTGTGATCGTGAGGTAGGGCAACATGCTCAGATGAAGAGCCTGATAGGAAAGGGGGGTTATCATATGTTGTAGAAACGTTATGTATCAGAGATGCGTTCCGTACTTTATTTATTTTCGCGTGTTATATAACGCTAATAGTGTAATAATAAAAAATTTATTTTCTTGGCAAATTTCAGCAAACATTGTTCGTCAAAATCGAGACATTGTTAGTCTATATGAAAATGATTGTGATGCAGAAGTAGATGCAATTGAAGCCAATAAAGGAGAAATACTGTGCTAACGTTTCTACGCTTAAGAATTCAAGTGTATGTATAAAGATTTTATGATAAATGATAAGTTGGGGAGAAGTGAGCGAAGGGGCAAGTATACGATTATATTATCACAATACCAAACGTAAACCTTATGTAAACAAACACAGAGAGCTTTAATAATCGATAATTTATTTGATAAAATAGGAGTGGACAAGATTTATTATATTAAAACATATAGTGCGGTTACTATTTCAAACAAACGATAATAGACCACTTCAGCGAAAAGTCCAATACAGAATTCATTGATGATCTCGAGGACAAAAAACAAGATGATGAATTACCAGAGGCGCGGGCAAATCCCTTAGTTTCAGCAGAGGCAAGTGCAGACTATGAGGATGATCTCTTGGTTAAGTTTTCTGGGATGAGATACTTCAGATAGAATATGATTCGAATGAAACTGGATGTGAGGATATGGATGAAGATTCTGATGATGGTGATTATGATGGAAATAATAGAGGTTATTATTATAAAGATGGAAGATATAAAAGGAAAGCATCGCCAATGATGAGTCCGATTATCACACCAGTAACCGCCTAGAAGAAATCTCGACATTGTCATAATCCGCAGTACAGAATTATTAATTACTTCGTGAACCCGCATCTCGTGAGGAGTGGCTTATGCAAAAACTCTACCATATCATTCATCTATGCGCAGTACTATGTTAAATTCTTGCCGATTTTTGGGGTTAGATTATAGTTGCGGGCAAAACCTTAAACCCATTTATTTATTTTAAAAAAAATCTTTCAAGCTAGTAAGCAGTAATCTTTGTATTTATTTTTTGTATGAATTAATTTTTTTATGATAGTCATTTGCGAAAATAGATAATACTTCTGCAAATATGAAGCCTGAAGGAAATTATATTCAGTGGAACCTTTGGCAAATTTTTCTAGCTTCTTATTAAAACTAACTATTTTAGTTTTTAGTCACTTAATTTCATCAAACATACCTTTACAAATCTAATAACTAACTGTTTCTACAAAATTTTTCTTATTATCTTTTGTTTCTTCTCATTCATATTTAATAGCTAAGACTTTATTTATTTTAATTAATTCTTGATCAATCTTTATACAAATTCCAAAGTAGTATTTTTTTTTAATATAAAAAAAAAACTTCATATATTCTTAGATTAATTTAGTGAACTATATAATAGAAACTGTTTACTTTTTACTTAGCGAATTTGCTCATGCTTTTATTATATACCTCATCACATTTCTTATTATTAATCTTAAAATTCGCTATAATTATACTAAGGCATTGATCATTTATTTAAAGTTCTTGAATTTCATAAAATCATTAATTTCTTTCTAAGATATTTTGACTTTTTGACAATCATTTTTCATCTAAAATAGTGATTTTGATATTTTTCTCTAGATTTTATGATTTTAAAACTTATCTTATATCAATTATAAAGATATTTTTTACTATAATACTTTATATTTCTGAATACTAATATATTATGATTTTTAATCTATAAGAAATAATTCTTTATCTATATTTAATTTCTTTAGAATTCTTTCTATCTTCTGATTTTATGATATTTGTAAGAGTCATAAGAAAGATAATATAGGATCTGTTAAAGTTTTTACTATAAATTATGGATTTTAGAGTTGCTATTTCTTCTTTTATTTCTAAATATTAATGGAGATATCAGAATTCATCTTTTTAATCTTTTTAAATATTTATTAATAAACTGAAGCTGATATAAGAATACTATCTAATTTAATTCTTTTTAATATGACTGGAATTCTTTACTCAAAAATTCATTTAAAGTATTTTATATTCCTATTCTGATAAGCAAAGTATACTTTTAAAAACATTTTTGAATAATATATTTATTTCTAGATCAATAAGATTTTAATTATTTCTTGTATATTTTTTGTTAACAAATTTTTTAAGATTAGAATAAAAGAACCTTCATGAGTTCAATATATCTCAATAAATACTATATCTATTTAAATTAATTGTTAAACTAATCTCGTATATAGAAATTTCTCAATTTTTTATCTATTATTAAACTAGAATATATTATATAATCATCTATATTATTATCAGAAAAAATTATATCTAATTTTTCTTTATGATATATATTCATAAATATATACTCTACTATATTATCTTTTAATGTATTTTCTAATATAATTATAATAAATAATTAATATAAACTTTATTTATTTCTTTTTATTAAGTTCTATTTGAAGAACTCTTATAATTTCTTTTTGAACAATTGTTATAAGTTAAGATATACAGGGGTATAAAAAGTATTGAGTATATGATATAATCCAAATGTAATACGTATTATTACACATCTGTCAAATTAAGCCATATTTTTCTATTTTTAGTTAGTCACGATTGTTATATAACAGTCAAAATAAATAAAGCGTCATTATTGAGATAAAAGTGGGTCACATGTGTTATACAAAAAAATTCTACTTTATAGTTAAAAAAATTTTACCGTCACAAATATGTCTTGGAAAAGAACTTAGTAAAAGCCAAAGAGAGAGTATCATTATAGTAAAAAAGTTGGGCAATATAGATAGCAGAATTTCTGCAGTCATCAGTTGTTTTATTTCTTCTATACAGCATGTATAAAGATCGTATAGGCTAAAAGAAACTCCAAAAAAATGAACGAATCAATCACGAATTCTTGACGAGTTTGAATGTAAAGAACTTAAGCATTTAGTAATTAGTAATAAAAAAAATTCCTACACAAACTATCTATAAAGAATTAGTTGAACAAGGTGCATTTTTTATTTCAGTTCATTAATTTCTGAAAGGAATAAAGAAAAATAGTTATTTTGAGTTCGTACTTATGAAAATTAAACAGTAGAGGATTTTAAAAAAGTAGTTTAATCAGACAAGTCTACTTATATACAATTCAGAATCTCAGGTTTTAGGCAGGTATAGCATGAACCTTCTGAAGAGTTCTATGAAGACTGCATTGTAATCACATTTCAAAAAAGCCTTTGGTCGCATATTTTGGGAATGTTTCTCCTAGATCAGTATGATTTCTTTAGTCCCTTTAATTAGTCACATAACTGAAAATATATATCATGAAGTTTTAGAAAATTTACGCAATTCCTACAGTTAAGTCTCATGCAAAAAAAATCAAAAAAAAAATTTTTATTCAAGAGGATAACACACCTATTCACACCGCAAGAATCGCTCATTCTTTTCTTGAATCCTCAAATATCGAGTTGCTTTTCTGACCAGCTCAAAGCCCTGATATTAATCCAATAAAAAATATTTGGTCACATATCAAGGTTAGAATTCGTAAATGTAATTCACAACCATTAAGTGTTATACAATTAGAGTAGTAAGTTAAGGAGGAATAGGATGCAATACCCATAAATTATTATCATAATTTAATTAAGTTTATACTATGTTAGATTTAAGCTGTTCTTGCAGTAATAGAGATCTAACGAAATATTGACTTGTAATTTAATAGAATAAAAAAAAATAAAGTTTATATGTTAGTTATTTTGTAATACTATTTTTAAGAATACTCAATACTTTTTATATCCCTTGTATATAAGACTACTGCATAATTTTTTTCTTCATCTATTACATTATCACTGGTTAAAATCAAAAAAAATCAGATATGCAAAAATTGGCCTAAAATCAGCCTAAAATCAGTCTAAATTTGACAAATTATCAAAAATCAGCCTAGCTAATTAGCATACATCAGAAATCAGCCAAAAATCAGCCAAAATTCAACCTATATTATTTATAGCTAATTAGTATATATCAAAATTCAACCTATCTCATTTATAATTGATTGATGTCTAATTGGAATGATTATATTATTCTTAGGTATAATAGGTATTATCGTTCTATAAGAATGATGGTATTATCGTACTTAAAGTATAATAGTTTTATTATTCTTAAGGAATGATACATTTATCATACTTTAAGTATGATAATTTTATCATTCCTAAGATACAATGATTTTATTGTACTTAAAGAACAATGGTATTATCATTTCTTAGAGATGATGTATTTATCATTCCTTAGAAAAATAGTATTATCGTATCTAAAGAATAATTGTTTTATTATACCTAAGGGATGATAGTAATATCATTCCTTAGGTATAATGATTTTATTATATCTAAGATATGATGATTTTATCATTCCTTAGAAATAATGGTATTATCATTCTTAAGAAATGATACATTTATCGTTCTTTAAAGACAATTGTTTTATCATTTCTTAAGAATGATGCATTTATCGTTCCTTAGAG